TTTTCATCTTGGCATTACTATGGCGAGTTATATATCTTCGCTACCAAAGATATAAAGAAACTATTAGGAAGAGGTGTCTACTGTGCGTTTGATTGGTTTCGTATGTCCACAATATTGACCCATATCAATATTAGTGTAGATTTATTGACTATCTAGTTAAACTCTTTGCATTTATAATAAGCGCGCATACAGGATTTTTTAAAAGCGATTTGATGCTTTATAGATCATTGGCGACTAATTAAATACCGTTTTTAAGGAATAATTTTCTGGTGAAATTTTTGATGGTTTCCATCATTCAATCGATTTACTGTGTTTAATACAAGGAAAACAATGTAAACTTACTACAAGTTATTCCCTCGCATACCTTATCAACAGATCTGAAAAATACAAACTAAATAGGATATGTTTTGGATATTTATAATATTATCGTGATTTTCAATATTTCATGTTTGTCTCAAATTCAAACCTCTAAACGTAATAGTTTATCGACCTTGACATGTCGCGGAGTTCTGTTTTATTCTTGCTCATTGTATTTGACCCCTCTCTCTTTTTCTTGCACCCACAGCATATTTTTAGTCTGAAGGAGAGTATTTCCCGAAATTATTACATGTATTTAGTTATCAATTTCATTGTATATAACAGATGCAGTCGCCCAACTTCTTTTATTTTTATTTATCGTAATTATTATGTACCTAATGATATAATACTATGGAATTTTCAAGTTTAAGAATACACTGTTCTATTTAGTGTATCGGGGCCATTATCAACACATGGCAACAGACAGATTTGGGATAAATACGATATGATATTATTTACATAGATTATTGCATTTAAATAAAAGAGGGGTTGGGTGGCCAAATGGTTAGCGCGTGGGCGTTGTATCATAAGGTCTGTCATTAAGTCAACTGGCGTGGTTTCGATTCCTCGCCTGTTCGACCTCGTGGGTTTTCTCCAGGTCCTCCGGTTTTCTCCCACTGCTAAAGACCCCTGGGTCATTCCATGTAAAGAGGGCCAGGGGTAGGAAATTGACCCCCTCGAGAAAATCTGGAAAAATATGTGTTATTGTACATGTAAAAACTAGAAACTATGCAAAATTTGTGATATGTAGCTTGGAAATTAACTGAGATACGGGTATTTGAGTTTCATGAGTTACCGATAAGTTTTCGAAACAAAATATGTATCTATAATTTACTCGAGTTTCAGATATCTTATTTTGACGTTTTTACTGAATATATACAGCTCAAATTTGGTAGTCTTAAAGAACTTTTTGTATAAATTACTTCAATCAGAGTACAGGTGAGTGGTAGGGTTTAATGTAGCAATATTGCTAGAAATTTTGCTCTTATAATTAATGGTGGTATTATATTTCATTAATTAATGTCTTTGGCCAATTGTACTAAATATGCACTAAAAATATAAGTGACAGGTTATAGAACCAAAACATAGCTGGTTCTATGTGTTAACAAAATACATGTGATTGGAAATTCACTAATTGCATCATTTGGCTTAAAGTAACCAATCATATCAGTAATTGCACAGGTTCAAGGTCATGATCATATGGTGTTCATATGTCCTATAAAAGAAATCATGGCAAACTTTTAAGGCAATTTCATTGGATTCCCGAGAGATCACCACCTGAGTTCCTAGACAGCAGCTTGATTTCAGAAGGGAAAAGATGTAGCAATTTCTATCAGCAGACTCCAGACTCGAAAATTGCCTAATATATTCGAGCCAATAGAACCCGGTAAATGAGCAAATAAAAATCTAAAACTTGGTGGAATTATAGTTTTTACTTTTGTCTCCAACATAATTATGTTAAAGCCATTCTTGTCCCAAGCCATTTAAATATTTTTTCGATTGTTTCAAAATCTGTGCTTTGGGCCAATCTATGCCAATTATCGTATTTTCGAGCCGGTTGAACCCGGTAGATGAGCACCTAAACTTGGTGGAATTATAGTTTATACTAATGTCTCTAACATGCCATCTCAATATTTTTTCGATTTTTTGAAAATCTGTGTTTTGGGTCATTCCATGTCAATAATCACCAAATGAGTTAAACCGTACCCCCCTTCGATTTTGCTGAAATTTGTTTTATATGTTTATCAGGGCTGAAAAAGCTGATATTCCAAATTTTAGCTTGATCCGAATAACAGTTCCTGAAATACAGTCCGCCTGATTTGGGGGATTTGGTCTAAAATGGGCGTGGTCGCCATTATTCAAAATATGACTATAACCCAGTAACCGATAAGTCAAAACTGCTGAGCTGAACTGTATATCTGCAATAGAAAGGTAAAAATAAGATATCTGAAACTCGGGTAAATTATTGATATATATTTTGTTTCGAAAACTTATCGGTAACTCATGATACTCAAATGCCCGTATCTCAGTCAATTTTTAAGCTACAGGCCACAAATGTATAGTTTTTATATGTACAATAACATATTTTTTTTTTCAAATCTTTTCGAAGGGGTCAATTTCCCAAATTTCTGAAAATTGACCCACTTGACATGGAGTGACCCTGCCGCTCCCCTGCCCCCCTCACCCAGGCACAAGCGAATTATTAAGATAAAATTGAACCATATGTTAGTCCCGAAATAGACTAGTTTGTATCGAGTGGACGTTAAACCCCATTTATCTGCATTTAAATAAGACAATTTTCATCATGTATATTGGGGGCTGGGAGTCCCTATTTTGCATTATCAGGTGTCCTGGAAATAAGCTGGTCCAGTGATGTAAAATGTTGGATATTCCAAATTTGACCATAGTCTTTAGTACCCATCATTAGTCACGACAGAATCCCTCCCAGTTAATTCTTAGAGAAATCGGTCCACGCTTCCCAATAGTACATATTGTTTGAATTTAGGTTAAAGTCGTATAGATAGCCAAACAAGTAAAATATAGTACCTCGTTGTTCCCTGGGGTAGAGTGGGGGCCACTCTCTGGCGTATTCAACCATGGTCGCCCCCCCCCCCCCGCGTCTTTAAAAGAGGAGAGAGGTAAGTAATAAAGCATAGCCAGTTCCTCAATCCTTTTCTGAGAATAAAATATTGTTTATAAAAAAATTAGGCGTTCCTCGAAAGACGTCATTCAGATGTCCTAGAGACATCATGTAGATCCTAGCTTTGACTCTGTACAGTTATTGAGTCTGAGTTCTAGGCTCATGAAACTCGGACTCTAGATTAAAACTTATATAATAAAATAAAACCAAGTACGAACAATCCAAACCATTAGACAAAATTCGAAGTCCTAAAAAAACGGTAAAGGCAAAATAGTTTAATCAGGCAAAATAGTTTAATCAGTTTAATCAGGCAAAATAGTGTAATCAGTCAAAATAGTGTAATCAGATTATGGACTGTTCGCCATGTACAAAATACACGACAAACAGTGGTAACAGGTGTCCGGAAGAGTAAGCTTACCCTGCCTGGCGCCACACCCGCCTTGGCTGCATATCCAAACTATTAGGCGAAATATATAACTAATATGTAATGTAATATCACAACCGTACACGGTTTAGCAGTAAAATAGTGACGTCCATAGGGAAGTCAATATTTCGAAGTTCAAGAAACACGAAACCACGATGGCAAGATTAGATAGCCTTACTCTAATCTTTCTGAAGATGGCTGTGACACAGTGTCACATTGATATTTTGAAGCCTGTGGCCATGATATTTTTACATAGTTCTTTATTGGCTGTTGTGAAACAGTATCGATAGTCTTAAATCTGTTATTTGAGCAACAGCATCATAGTTTCACAATAACGATGCAAGCTATTTTTCATTTGTGATGATGATGATAATTGCTGGTGATGGTGATATTGGTCATCAAGGTGATGATGGTGATAACGATGTTACCAGTGATCATCATCACAATGACTGTCGCGTACGGCCCGACGCGTCAAACAAATACATTTCAGATCATGAACAATAAGTGTTGGAATCAGGCTCGTAACTAAGGAGGAGGGGGTGGGAATTTTGCCCCCCCCCCCCGCCGCCTGTGAAAAGATTGTCGATCATAGATATACATTGTCCATCAATTTTACAGCACCCCTGAGAACACCCCCCCCCCCATCTCGTTGCTCTGAGCTACTTACGGCCCTGGTTGGAATAATAAAGTTATAGACCCAAATAGTGATGTGAGCCAAATAAGAAACAACTACAACTGGAAAAAAATACAAACCTGTCCTCAGTCTGAGATTCAGCAAAACATATAACACCCAAAGCTAGAAGTATGAACAGTCTCATGGTGAAAACTATGGAAGCCTATTGCGGCCATTTCAGAATCTCGTCCCCTCGCCGCGAGAAGTCGAGGGCGAGAAGACGAGAAGACGAGAAGTCGAGGGCGAGGGAGCGAGAACGCGAGAACGCGAGGGAGCGAGAAGTCGAGGGCGAGGGAGCGAGAGAGCGAGAACGCGAGGAAAAAGGGCGAGAATACGAGGATCTCGCCTCGAGAACACGAGATTACTTTCACCTCGACTTCTCGTCTTCTCGTCCCTCGACTTCTCGCTCCCTCGTGTTCTCGCCTTTGAAAAACCTCGTGTTCTCGCTCCCTCGCCCTCGACTTCTCGCTCCCTCGCCCTCGACTTCTCGCTCCCTCGCGTTCTCGCCCTCGACTTCTCGCCCTCGACTTCTCGCTCCCTCGTGTTCTCGCCTTTGAAAAACCTCGACTTCTCGCTCCCTCGCTCCCTCGCCTTTGGGTCAATCTCGTCCTCTCGTGTTCTCGCTCCCTCGCTTCGTCACTATCTCGTCTTCTCGTGTTCTCGCCTCGGAAGTGCAAGTATTAATTTTCGTGCGCAACAAAAAATCTTTCAACAATATCTATCAAAATGCAAATTTCATTTGATCAATTTCGGCATATGAAATTTACGTTTGTCCAGATTTTTGAATAACTATTTGTTACACACGAAATTAACTAATTATAGGATAAAAAAATTTGAAAAAAAGGAAAGTTTTGAGAGTAATTATTAAACAATGCACACGTAGGCCTACATTTTTGTCACTGGTTATAAAGTCGCAAAACTTGTATTTTAATTGTTTAATCTCATTTTTATATTAATCATGTTTTACATTTTAGTCAAAACGTGTGTTTTTGAGCCACGAGCAGACATTTGATTTTCCTATCTATGCTTATTATTATTACAGGTGATGAGCTCATTCGTGAATTTTTGGCGGATACACCAATATTGAAGTCTCTATATTATTATTTCTAAGACACACTATATCAATAAGGTAGGCCTTTCTTGGTGTGATTGTGTGGTATGGTGTGTGTGGTATGGTGTGTGTCATTGATTTTATGGAAATTTATAATGAATATTGAATCACAAAAGCAAAGAAATATGTTCTTCTAGAAAATGACTAAAAAACATTTATTTTCGTTTGTTTATTATTAATTCAGTGAAAGGCAAATAAGAAGAATTCTTAAAAAATATGGTCATAGGCGAAGAGGTGGAAATGACGAAGAGTCTATAACAGCTGCTATAAGAGTAGGTGTGAAGCCTACGTAATAGGCTAAATTTTTCCCTCCGAAACCTTACATATCTTGTGAAGAAATGACCCCGGTTTACAGAAAGTGGGAATAACGAGAATCAACAGCAATATCCCACACCCCACGGTACAGTCTGTAGTTACTGTTATATAATCACTAGGGTCGTATTAAGGGTAGGGGAGAGCGGAGCACAGTGGGCATGATTTCTTTTTTTTTAGTAAATTGACCAGAAGTGAAATCCTACAGAGAATCAAACTATGTACTCAGTTGAAGCCAGTCATATGTTTGATTTAATAGTGCTGTTAAAAAGTTAATAAATTGAAACTATTTCTGTGTAGATCATTGTAAAACCAAACTTTTTTTTGACCCAATGTGCCCCGTATGTGGGGTACACTGGGTCACACTATGGGACACAGTTGGCCATCAAGTATGTTTCTTAAAAAAAAATGCATAGAAAACACACTGAATTAACTGAAACTCATAAGGACTGTAAAAACTAATCTTTTAGTTCAAAATATGAATTTGTTTTAAGACTTGAACACAGATGCACATCTGAAAATTAAAAAATCCCAACATAACATTGAATAAAAAATTCTTTAACAGAAGAAAAAAAAATCCTTTATGCGAAAAATTCCTATGACTTGTAAGTCAGTAACGATTCGTATCCTAGGTCCAATATTTCTTTAAAAACAGCTCAAATACCCAGATTCTTTCTAAAATGGACAGATGATATTTAGCTAAACTCGAAATGCTTATGCCCAGTGTGCCCCTCTGAAGTGTGTCCCACTGTGCCCCGTCATCAACCATGACAGAAAATCGAAAATGGCAGGAAGACATGTGATAGTATTATGAAACAAAATATTTCTAATGAGAGTCAATCACTGTCTACTTCACCTGGAATATCAAGTTTGTGGGCTCTAACAAAATCTGGAGTAGCCAAGCAGTTTAACCAGTCCACTAAAAATTCACTTTTGCGTCACAAAAACGGTTAATGGCTGATAAATATCAATCAGTTTACATGAATTTATTGAATTTAGGAGGACAAATGGGGGCTATAAAGGGCAATTCCTCAGTGATGTCACAATTGAATTTTGCCAAAACAGTGTAAAATTACAAAGCCTGGCTTACTGTGCCCCATAGCCCACTGAGCCCCGCTCTCCCCTACTTTAGACTTATGGTCGCTTACTGAAGAAGTACCCAATTTTGGGAACAAAATGACAATACATAGTCATAAGACAGTTATTATGTAGCACGTTGCGTTTTTCGATGGCTTTTGCAATGAAAATATTAACAACAGAGTTTTTAGACAATGATTGAGATATCCATGGCGATTTTAGTTGTGTCAGATAGCTAAGACTATTCAACATTTGCTGATATTTGCAATGGTATCTTTAGAAAATTTAGTCGACCCCCAGCCAGATCTGTAGGCCTAAATATTTTTAAAGGGCTTGCGTTATAGCCTTATTAGCCTAATGGTTAACCCTGCCTTGATAATGACCAATGCTTTAGATATAGGCTTCTAAATCCAACGGGGGGGTTGGGATGGCCTAGAGGTCTGGAGTGCCGCGCTTCGACCCCTAGCTGGCCGGTCACCTCTGGCTTGCGGCTGTGGTTTCGATCCCTGGTGTGAGCGTATGTGGCATGGAGATAGGGGCGCCTTCTCAACCTCGTGGGTTTCCTCCGGGCACTCCGGTTTCCTCCCACTGCTAAAGACCCCTACGCGCAAGCGAATTATTGAAATTAAATTGAAACCATATGTTAGTCCTGAAATGACCTAGTTTGTGTCGAGTGGACGTTAAACCCCATTTCTCTCTCTCTCTAAATCCAACTACTTTAATGGTTTGGCATGGAAATGAAAAAAAAATTCTTTTATTTCAGGAGGAATTGACTGGAAGTGGACGGTGCCTTGGTTACAGGGCTTTAGCGAAAAGACTCCTGTCAAAATATGGCCTACGTGTTGCTAGGTATTTCTATCATGTTCTGCAATGCAACTGCGTGTTAATGAAACTTGGCATTCTTGAACTTAGTAGTGTCTTAATCATAAAATGAAGGTCAAGCAGAGTTAGGCAATTTCATCGAAAGTTGATTACATTTGTCGCAAACATTTGAAAGCAGCCTCACCCCTACAGATTTGAACTGATAACAATAACACTTGGTATACATGTCCTCAAACGAAAATAAATTTAAATGTTAAACTATTTAACTTTTACATTCCAGTGTATAACTTGTTTCGCAACTTCCTGGACACCATAGTACTTAAAAGCTTGACCACATTGCCAGCTCTAGTTAGTATCACCAGGAAACAATTAAGTAAGCATGTGATTCAGGTAGTCCCTGACAATTCACGGCTGCTTATGAAAGAGTGGAGGGCTATGTGCCCCGCCCCCTCCCCGCACCACTACACACACACACACACACAAAAAGTCCTTTATGATAGCATTTACTTACATCGGTGCATACATTGTTTCTTGTGTGTGTGTGAAATAGCTTTATTTAAAGTGATATTGCAGACAATTACATGTTATATTATGAAAAATGAAATATTTCTGAGTGGAATGTGGAAGGATTGATAAAATATCTATTTTGTTTCTAGTAATACGCTTGTATTACTTACAGGGACAAGGTTTACACTTTATTAAAGTTAATGGACCCCGAAGGGGTGAACCTTCGCAAGAAACACCAACTGTCAAGGAGAATATATGTCAACAAAGGTCCAAACTATTTAATCCACATAGATGGGTATGACAAGTTGAAGGCCTATGGCTTTGCGATACATGGTGGAATATGTGGGTAAGAAAAACTGTATTATAATATGACTTCTTTGATAGGCACTTATAGTTATGGAACATATTAACACAAGGTACAATTTTATGGATGCTTAGTATTAAACTCAATAATTATGATTCCATGAAATTGTAGCTAGTGTTATTATGATATGCCCTTTTATCCTAATGAAACCACCTGCCAGAATTAAATAAAGTTTACTTAATAGATTATTATTAGTTTTTATTTTAATGTTATATTTCTCTGTGTCCTCAGATTTCCTCGCACTGCTAAAGATCTCTCCGCACAAGGAAATTATTGAAATGAAATTGAAAATTATTATGTTAGTCCCGAAATGATTTAGTTTGTGTTGAATGGACGATAAACCATATTTTTCTGTCGCTCTATTATTATTATACAACATTTATATAGAGCTATATTTCACATGAGTGTTCCGGTGCGCTACAATAAATGTAGAAAATATAAATCTATAAAATCAGTAAAGAATAAATAATATCTATAGAAAGATTAATTGGACTTAAAAGCTAATTTACAGAAAACTGTAGAGCTAACAAGAAGCAACCAGGAGCGCTTCGCCTGCGCTTTTATTAGTTTTATTTACATTTGTTTGGACTACTCAATAATAAAACAAGTTTTATAAAGCTTTACCAAAAAGAGAATAATGTCAACTTGAAATAATGAACCTTACAGCTTCACTAATAAGTTTATTTTGCCTGTTTTCAGTTTCTGAGAGATTGAAAATATTGTTAACAGCTCAGCATATCACAATAAGTTGTATTACAGATTAAGATTAACTATTTTCAGATATTCTAGACGAATTTTATGGCTTCGTGTTGGTAGAACCAACAATGATCCAGAGGTGGTTGCAGGCTATTTTTTAGAATATTTGCTTGGAATTGAAGGTGAGAGTAGAAGCATAATGTGAAATTTCTCACGAAACATTGAAATGTGCATCGATACAGAGAGAGAGGGAGGCATAGAATGCGACACTTGTGGCTATTGTACTACGCTGTTGTTATTGTGTTCCCAAATATTGTAGCATTCCAGTTTTTTCGTATGGTATTATTGACGAGGGCGAACCACGTGGTATCTTAAGAGATCTGTCCCTTTCAATGGCAAAATGATGCGTACATAATCGTAGGTTGTTAATCGCATATGATTATATTGCCCCCCGCCTTGCACGATGCTTTATGAAAGCACACACACACAAGAAACAATGTATGCACCGATGTAAGTAAATGCAATTAATTAATATGTCCCATCTATTTATTATAATCCCATATAATAATACCCATTTTAAACTTATAGGAGTTCATCGATGTATTAGAGCCGATAAAGGCACAGAGAACAAAATAATTGAGAATATCCAGAAGTCACTAAGATGGTATCATGGAGATGACATGGCTGGTGAAAAAAGCTTTTTGTATGGACCATCACCGGCAAATCAGGTAATTTTCTTTTATTAAAAAAATTCAAACTTTAGAATACCAAATACATTTTCAATTTAGTCCCTTTTATTCGCCCTTTGTCTGTCCGCCTTTCCTCAGACAGTCTGGCATCCACATATGCGTGTAAATGCTCTAGAGTTATGACCCATGGTCACTTTTTAAAATTTTGTGGTTGCTAAAGTTGTTATCCGATTCTCTTGAAATTTACGATCATTGATCACCCTTAATCAATCTGAACCTCTTGTGGACTCTTTACAAGCGTAAGTGATTAACCGATTGACTATAGTATTTATGTACATGAGATGAAGTGGCTGATAATTACTTTCAGAGTTATTGCCATTTATCACTTCGAAGACTGGTTTCAGTGGGGTACATCCCTAATCTGCCCAATCTGCCACGCCTACAAAAATGTCAAAATTGACATCGAATCCATTCACTTTTTTTGAATTGTTTGTTTAATTGTGGTTTCTGGGTATGATGTCTTGTCCATATATTTGTTTTTATGTAAATTATGTGTGGTGTAATCCCCCTGCAATTACTATATAAGTAATACGATCAGAAATAGTTTTGAAATGTTGCGATGCTATGTCTGAATCTTAAAATGCAAAATCTGACCGCAAAAGATGGGGCCACACCACAAATTCGGATCTACGCAAAAAACTTGTTGAGAAAAACTCGGTCTCATAAATTCACAGGTCGGGTGACGATTCCCCCTCCCCCTTTAACCACCGAACTAGTAGTGTCTTGTGAATGCTATCATTACCTTTGAAAGAATAAATAAATGTGACACCCTCTGTGGACTGCTCGGGTGAATTGTGTGCTGTGGGTGTATGTTTCGTTGTCTAGCAATTTATCTTTGTTGAAGTTGTTACATGTTTAGTATATACCAATGATCGTCTCTTGTAGCGGATAGAAAGATTCTGGCGGTCTGCAAAACAGGGTGGTTGTCAGTTCTGGATGGATTTATTTAAGGATTTAGAAGCTTCAGGAGAGATTAATACCGAAAATGGCCAAAACAAGTGTGTATACATCATTTCAACATTTTTAGATCCATATACTGTTATGTGGACATGTGTTGTCATCATAGTGACCACCACTCTAGCAAGTGATGATATGTGTGGTTATTTTGATATGATATTGGATGGTGAATATTGACAATTTTATACAAAAGGGTTGTTTTGTTACCCCAAAATACTGTATCGAAATAAACTTTAAATTGAATCTGAATGAAATTTAAATATGCAATATGTAAGATTTAGATAAAGATCTCGCCTGTCTATAATAGTTTAAAAATAGATAATGCAAAATGAATATATCGAAAATGTCAGTCAAATTACTTTATTATGAGCGAAATTATGAATGTCTTCTTGCCTACCAATTGTCACTATCTATAATTAAATCTACAAACTTTCCTCTAATATACTTACTTGAGGTAACAATAAGCAATACAGAATAATTATATTCTTGACTTAACTTTTAATTGTTCTTAAGGGATAATTTTTAATTGTTCTTAAGGGGTAGTATTTAAGTGACACCCATTCATTCATTCATTCATTTAGATGACTTCTTGGGGCCTTGTTTATGTAATGTTTATAGTTAGATTATCGGTAGTCAAACTTAGGTGCCAAGTTATAAAGAAAGGCTACTTGGCATATATTTATGATAGAGCCTCCATTATTAAGGTCCCTACAATGTAATACATTCTATAGGTATTGGTATTGTTTACCTTTTTTGATATGCTTGAATTAACTAATACTAATATAATATAATATGTTTACAGCAAAGTTAACAAGCATACATATTAGTTTTCATATTGATAATGCAGTATTGGTATCATTATGTCTTACAGAGAATGTTTCAGGTTTTGCTTCACAAATCTCATTCAAAAAGACTTAGACCAAATCCGTAAAGACTGGAATCAACATAAGATGAGACCAACTAAAGGGGCAGAGTGTCCTGCAGGCAAACCAGACTTGTTATATTTTACTCCACAATTGTTTGGTAAGGCGACAATCACAAGATTTAATATGAGAAATTATTTTCACCATATGGGGGTAGAAACTATTTGGTCATTATTTGATCATTAAATGAAAACTAAGCTGCTTTTATGTCATATATCAGATATTTTTGTGTGATTTTTTTTTTTTCATTTTAATATTCAGATACAGTTGATTACAAGACCGAAGTTGCTGTTGAAGATCTTGATAGTTTTAGTCAGTTTTGTAAATTTTATGGACCCAACGGTTGTTTAAGAGAATTTGAAAATGTATGCTCAGAATTGTTAGTGCAGGCCGGAAAAGAGATGCCAAATGATCCAGAAGAGGCATTAGAATTATATAGTTGGCTAAAAATGAGAAGTGACTAATTAAACATACAGTGTTTGTGGACCCTCTAGAGGGTACAATTTTTATATGATTTTGATGAAACTTGAAATGTATGGTTATAGAATATAACCCAAAGATCTTGATTTCTTTCGATGTGGTCCCTCTAGAGGTCACAATTATTATCCGATTTACAAAACCGTTCCACTGTATATTTCACTGTTACATAGTTATGATGGTTGAGCTCGAATTTCATAAAAATTGGACTGATAGTGTAAAAGTAGGTTATGTAATACCATGGTTGTTAATCATCTGGAGGTCACAATTTTTTTTATCAAATTTTGATGAAAATAAAAATATGTTTTTATCCTATAGATCTTGGTTCCTTTTGATATATCGGAATGGTAATTTCCTGGATTATGACCCCTGAATGTCTGAAAATCCGTGTTGGCCAATTGTTGTTCATCTAGAGGATAGACTTTTTGCCTGATTTGGAATAAATGTTTAAATTTATCACCGTTACACAATAATGTCAGCTGATTTTGAATTTCATAAAAATCGGACTGAAACAGCTTGACAAACTAGCCACTCCCCGTACGCAATAAGGTTATGACCCTGTAGATGTCACAATTTTCTTTTTATCCGATCCAATTTCAGTGAAACTTAATTTTATTTCCTATAGATATGCTTTCATATTGATACTTGAGCGTATCGAATCGTAACTTGCCCCATTATGGCTCTTGATATTCCTTAAAACACATCTTATATTAGCTTGTTATCTGTCCATCTCTTGCAAAATGTGGGTGTATCTTGCCTGGCAACCGCTGGTCAAACAGTTTGGAAGACAAAGCTTTTATTGAAGGCCAAGGGTGTATATTAACCTATTATTCATCAGCCTGAACTAAGGTTTTGGGGGGGTTGGATGGTCGAATGGTTAGCGTGCGCACACTGTATTGTTCAGCCTGCTATTGAATCAACTGGCATGGTTTCAAATCCCCAGTTGTACGTGACAAGGAGCAGGGTCGTCTGTCCAACCTCATGGGTTTTCTCCCACTGCTAAAGACCCCTACGCGCAAGCGAATTATGGAAATACAATTAAACCATATGTTAGTCCCGAAAGGACCTAGTTTGTGTCAAGTGGACGTTAAACCCCATTTCTCTCTCTCTCTATAAGGTTTTGCAAGAATACCCTAAATGGTGTTTGATTAGTTGCTGGGAAAGGCTTTACCCATAAGGCCTTATTAACAGATATAGGCCTGAAATGCAAAGTATGTTATTTTCTCTTCTATTTGTCACAATCACCTCTCGGGATAAGCACTGTAATCCATCGAAGGCATAAGCTAAACAGTTAAGGAGCACTAGTGAGGTGGTGGGGGTGGTGGTACTGTATTGTCAGCACCTTCATGATACCTGGTGCAATTAAGCTATTGGCCTCAAATTTCAATATTAGATACAATCTTACTTATTAATTTAACCAGGTCTAGGATCCTGTAATATTTAACCCTCCCAAAAAAATCATGACAGTATGTCTGAACAGTGGGACTTCGTAAATAGGGGAAGGGTGAAAGGGTTTTAGTTATTGCCCATCCGGACATGGAATGATCTTGTAGATGTATTAAATACATATTTGTCTTACACTGTTGTTTTTTAGTCAAATGTGTAAGCGGTTTCTACCCATCAATGAAAAATCTTCAAGACTTTCCTTTGACCACCCTATCCCGTCCCTTTCAAAAATCCTGTATCTAGCCTACATTTTAAAAACAGCAATAAATCTAGAATCTTAAAATGGTAGAAGGCCTAGTCTTTATGGGATGTAGTCAGTACATACACAGAAAAAATTTATGAATATTTAATAACTTAACAAGATACAATAACAGTTTCTTAATAAAAGGATTTTTTAAGAAATTAAAATTATGACATTAACTATGCCTAAAGGTACAAAATCATGTTTAACCCAAAATTTACATGGAACAGTTGATCATCAAACTTAACCAATTTAATATGGAACCTAATTAAGGCAACATCATTAAACATATTCATCAACAATAATAAAACACATGGCAGTACACTAATCCATATTTAAGGATAGGTTGCCTCTCAACAAAAAAATCCCCCACAGCAGCTAAATCGAATGGACAGTTGCATAATTTTTTTTTTGTCGTTAATGAAACATTTATAATGCACATAAATCGGATTAAGAGTAACAACTCATTAAGTAATTAACAGAAAATCATTAGAATTTGTTTGGCTCATGCTAAAGTTTAATATACAAAACATTTAATATCATGGATTTAGCTGTTTAAGTTCATCAAAAATCATTGAAAATCAATAAGATCTCATAATCTTCAACTCTGTTTTAGTGAATATAATATCAAATCAGATGATAACTTTGGTCGGAGCATCCACAGGATTTTAAAAGTGATCAAGGGCCATAATGTTGACAGTAATTATCAGAAATTGTTGAAAATCAAAAAGTGTCTTTAACTTAATCTTTAAGTGGCATTTATTGATTGGGAAACAAATTAACAGAACAAAATTTTTATGGGGAACAATCACTGGTTTTATTTGATGTTTCGACAACTATCCTCTTATCGAAACGTGGTGCTTTTAGAATAAAACCGGTGATTGTTTCCCATAAAAATTGTGTTCTGTTGATGCGTCTTTAACTGATGACCTTAAACACTGTGTATAAATTTAAAGTCAATTGGATATTAACTTTAGCCACTAGAGCATCCACAAGAATTTTCAAAGTAATCATAGGCCATGGCAGTAAACATCGAAAATCATTCATGACCTTAAACACTTAATAAATTTAATGTGAATCGGATATTGACTTTAGCCTCAAGAGCATCTGCAATGTTTTTCAAAGTGATTAAAGGCCATGACTGTGGCAGTAAATATTAGAAATGGTTGAAAATCAGTCTGATGACCTTAAACACTGTGTATAAATCTTTAGTCAATCAGATATTAACAGAGCTAACCAAGGTAACGACAAAATTTACAACCACATTTCAATGTGGGAGTTTAAAAATTAATGTAAGAATTTTAATCTTAAAAAGGTTTGTTGTGATTGCAATGAAGACATTCAAATTAACTTTATATGCAAAAGCCTGTATATTAATCATTATTTCTACCCATTGTCAAATAAGAAATTCCCTATGAAATTAAAACAATTTAATTCTCCTTTTCAAATAATAGAAAACCAGTTTCTTGTAGGAAATTTACATGTACAAAATGTTCAGGCATAGGATTTGGTACAAAAAGTCTTGCAAAGGGAAGTAGTTTGTGTTTTACTGATACCGGTACTGCAATTCTGACAACAAAGAAATTAAGTTACAAAGAGCATATTTAATAGGTAAACGATAAAAAAATATAAAGGTAATATTTGTCGGACTTTATCTGTTTGCAGGTGTAAAAAATACTGCTTCATTATTACTATACATCTTTTAACATAAAATTTTATGTTAAAAATTATAAATAACTCAGACTGCAAAAATTGATAATGCAAAATTTATACATTGCATATTTTCTTAGATTGTTGCAGCTTTACACAGAAATAAATAAAAACTGAATCAAAGAACATAAAATATATCACAAAGAAATAAATTTAAAACGGGTTACCCCCAAAGGTAAATAAGAAATTATTACACAAACAAACATAAGCAATACTTTAAATTTAACTATCTTAAAAACTATCAAATTGATTGGATAAAACAGACTAAGTTGTATCACAAAAAAGTGTTTTTAAATATAACTATCTTAAAAATTATCAAATTGGTTGGATAAAACAGACTAAGTTGTATCACAAAAAAGCGTTTTTAAATATAACTATCTTAAGAACTATCAAACTGATTGGATAAAACCGATTTAAGTTGTATCACAAAAAGGGCAATTTTAAATTAACTATCTTAAAAACTATCAAATTGATTGGATAAAACAGACTACGTTGTATGACCAAAAAGTGTTTTTAAATATAACTATCTTAAAAACTTTCAAACTGACTGGGTAAAACAGAAAAAGGCAAGTTAATATTTTAAGCGTCAGTAAAAATATTGCCAATTCTTAAAGACATGGCCATTGCAGTTTTGAATGCATCATAATCTTTTAACACTGGAATGTTAAGGGTATTAGCACAAGTATTTGCAAACGGGGCAATGTCCCATTCAAAAGATGGGTGTCTAAACAGTAGCTTTAGTGGTGGGTTGAATCCCAGTGGAGGTATGTCCTTTAAACCAGTCACAAAAGATAACAAACTACCCAGTTCATCTGTTTCTGAAATTTAAGAGGATAAATAAAAATTGAGTTTCATCCACATCTATTGTAAGCCTGCAGTTGTCAAGAAATTAAAAGTACATTATGAAAGCGCTAAATCTGCCTTTTGCAGATCTTTTTTTGGGCCTGAAATCTTATCTAAATTATTCAGGCCATTATCAACTCTGGATGCCATTGGATATCTATATATTTTACTTAAAAGTAGATAAGAACGGTGGTTGCAAATAATGCAAATATCCTATCCAACCTTTAAAAGTTAATATCTTTGCTCGCAATGGAACAATATTTGGAGACAAGAAATACCTATGGACTGTCAGATGGACATGGGCAACCATACCATTTGTCCCATGGTATTATTAAAAATTTACACTGTACTGTTGTGTGGTTCACTAATCTAACATGATAAAGGTGGGACAGAACTAATAGACAATGAAAAACAGAAAAATATACTTGAGGATGATTACCTTCAAGATCCAGAAGAAAATCTCTCCAATGAGCATGGCTGTTTAATTCCTGTTCAAGCGAAAAGCTGTTTTCGCTAAAAACCGGAGTAAACAGGTGATCAATATTAATGGACGACAATTTTTCATACGAGAAAACAAAAAGTTCTCTCATGACTTCTGGATTTTTAATTATTTCCTTTCTCAAACCTAAAGAATCCATCCCTTCACAGAACCTAAAATAAAGTTAAAATTAGTTGTTTAGGGATATTTATTGATGAAATATGTTCATATTTCTATAATAAGTCATTCAATGTGGAAGTTTAACAAATTTCTCAGGCAAACCGCATTTCCTTCTACTTTTTTTCCTGATATTAATTGCCTATGGATTAACATGCATTGACTTATGGAGGACATCACTTTTTTTTATCTCCCCATTAAAAACTTGTAGCTTTTCTACGTCCAGGAACACCAATTTTTCAGATAAACAGTGATCAAAAAACATTCACTTACTGATTCAGTACTCCTTTTACCCTGTCCACAACAAAATACCGTGTTAATAATGTGACTAGACTTTCTTTATTTTTTACATCGAATATAAGAGGTATAGCTCCTAAAAAGTCTATATGGCCAATAAGAGGCTGAGCAGCCTCTTGTAAC